AGCACATGGAAGGTAAATGAATAAAACAGTTAATAAGGTGGAGAAGCACATCTGAAGATGTTCACTCTTCCTGGAAAATCATATTGTCTCTGCTAGAGAGCCCCAACTTCCAAAGTATCCCAGCTATGCTGAGATTCTCCAGGGGGAAAAGGTAGAAGGCAGAGGGGATTTTAAATTCATTTTTGGGCTGCAGCAATTTCAGGGTTCACTAGGTTCTCTAGCAAGTTTAGAGGCACTGTGTAGACCCAAATTAAGGCTGTGGTTAGGATCCACCATCAAGAGACAGAGGGAGGTATCTTGTACACTATCCTCCTGAAGGCATCAGCTGTGATGGATGAGGTACGGCAGCTCCCATCTGTGCAAGAGCACAGCTCCCAGCTGCCCGGGTGACCTGCCCAGCATGTGCCAGCTTTCCGTCTCCTCTACAGCGTCAGCACTGAGGGGCAGATTTATTACCTGAGATGAAAAAAGGCACTTTACAGGCACTCCCTGATTCAGGATGTGATTTTTTACATGCCAAACATAAGCATTGCTGACTTGTTTCTGGCAAGACCACTCTTGGAAGTGGGAAGGGCAGGGGTAATAGCTTGCTTTAGAAAACTCCTTACATTTCTTGCCTTAGTGATTCTTTTGACTCCTAACTTGCTTTATGCAGTATGAGATGAAGCTAGATCACTGTGACACAGTGACGTTCAGCGGAGACGCTGCAAGAGGAGGCAGCGGAATGGAGCCATCCTAGCACAGGACTGCCTTTCCAGGCTAGGTGCACTGCTGGGCAGTGGCCTACAGCCTCTGCAAACCAGTGGCCTTCTCCAGTCCTCCAGCTTCCAGCACCCGGGGGCAGCAGTCAGCTTCACAACACTGCAGAGAGCAGGGAGAGCAGCCAGCTTTCACATAGCACACGGCTATTCGGTAGCACTAGAGCGAGAGTGCTGCTTCCTTTAACGTTTGGTCTCCAAAGTCAGTGCATTTCACACCCCAATTATTTCCTTTCCTTCACGTGGAAATGTAAATTTGGATGTATTCCAAATTCATCTATAATAAAATACAGCTTTCCGGTAGATACAACAGGAGATCTCAGAAAAGTTTCAGAGAAAGTCATCAGATTAGAGCATTGCTAGCAATAAAATGCAGAATGAAGAGATGCAGAGACGAGGAAGGAAAAAATATGTATGATATTTACTCAAAATGCAGATTCAGCAAAGCTGATGTGCTTTGTAGAGGGTCTTTTTAGTCTTGTTGAAACAGTGTTTCTCATGCTTTGTGCTTTAGCTTTCTTAGAAAGAGCAGCAAAATTCTGGGAAGGTTCTTGCTCCACAAGAGGTCAACTGTTGCAAGGAAAGGTCAAATTTTCACAGGAATAGCTTAAACTTATAAGATACTACATGGTACCAAAATGCGTACGTCTGTTATGATTATTTGAAGATTTTCCTTGGCTTACAAAAAATGTATAGCAATAGACCAAAAACAGTGGAAGGATTCTGAATGCAGGTCTTCCATTTATTTTAGCATAATATTGAAAGAAATATCTACGATAATTGTATTAATTTCCAAGACTAGCCACTCACTAAGAAAAAAAGCAGTATTTACTTGGGTTGATGTAAGCAGCAAAAGGAAATCTGTACAAGTTACAATAGGCAAAAAGTGATTCAGCATAACCTGTAGAGTTTAATATTTTAAATGAATGCTAATAAAAAGAGCTTCTTAGCTAGACAGTGAAGAATTTAGATTCGTTACTGTTTTGTTCAACTCAAAATGCGGCTTCTATCCCATGCGCTAAGAAGTGATAAGACATTGTCTCATATATTTTGTGGATTCAGAGTTACTATTGACTTAAAAGAGCCTCTGAGACAACTGACCTGAAGATCTTCCAGGCTTTACAATAGCAAACACACTTTTATTCTCTTCACGTATCTCTTATTGGAACAAAGTACTCAGCTGACCAGTCTGCATTTGTAAAAAGCATAATGAAGACCTGAAGGCACTCATTCCCAGGAGCTGAGAAGCCTGTGTCCTGTGCTCTGCTCTCAGACAGGCTCTGAAGGGAAAGAACTGTGGCCTGTGTCGTTTACAGCAGATATGAACCATTTAATAGGTGGACAAGTGAAGTCAGATTAATTTATCTTATTTAATTTGAGCCAGTACCTCTGACCTGCAATTTGACTTGACTGACCACAGCGAATCTCTGGATATAAGACACAAGCATGGCTCTGTCTAGCAAGTATCACATAAGTCTCAGTAACAAGACAGAAGAGGATATGAGTCCTACTGGGCAGTCCCGAAGCAGATGTAAGCAAGGGTTTTATCACTTTGATCAGACAGATGTTTCAAGAGATGATTTCAGTTGGATGGTCTGAAATTATTCAGAGGAGGTCTGGGAAAATACAGCAGGAGGATTTTTCAGAACAGTACCAGAAAATCTGCAAATTGCTAGAGGAAACCCAAAAGCACTTTAGGAAACAGATGATTTCTCCATTTGCATGGCTGGTGAAATATATACATCCAGAAAGAAACTGAAAGATAAAGAATCAAGAAAAGAAAAGCTTTTTTTTGTGTGGTGGGGGGGGGGGGGGAGGGGGGGGAAAACAGGTAGGATTTATTTGATGAGATGCAAGTCCAACTAAATGAAGTCCACAGAGGACAGAAAGTGGGAGTCAGACCAAGAATGGCTTTCGTTGTGCACTTGTAAGAGGAAATGTACTGATGTTAGATGTAAGACTGCGACAGTACTTGAAAAAGCTGGACAGATTTAAGCATCAGGAACAGCTGTTCTTTAGACAACGAAATTTGGTAGATATTTAGAAATATGCAACATAACCTGTGGTGCCCGTATTATAGCCAGCAAAATAAGATCTTCTCTCATGCAGGTCTTCACAAATCACTGAGTTCACTGTTGTATTTGCTGAACATAACATGCTGGGCGTAGAGCTCCTGCAGTTTGAGTGTTCTTAACCAGAAACGCCCATATTATGTTCTGCAAGTCTATCACCTGTATATTTGCAGGACCTACCATACCTCCATCTCTTTTTATTGAAATGAAAGGAAAACTAATTAGCAAATATTCCATTTTCCTTCTTCTCTAGCATTCCTTATGCCTCATTCACTGCAATTCACAGTATTACTTGATGAGATTCACACCACCAGTTGACTTGCTGCAGGAAACAGAACAAACATGCAGGCTAGAGCAGTGTATGAGAAGTCAGTTTTTTGCTTAGGAACAGCCCTCACCTGGCATAAGCCACAACTCTTTGAGTGTGTACTTTATTGCCTAACAATCTGCAGAGAAAAGCCAGATTCTTGGCTGTCAACATTAGTCTCGTGAAATCCACAGCAAAGGCAGGGTTCCAGAGGCTTGCCGTTTCCTCAGCCGTAGGTGCATTTTTCCTTTTTCTTTAAAGCAAGTTCAGAAAATGTAACTATGCATATTTTAATTGCAAGTTAATGCTCTTAATGCCAGGTTTTGTTTCAGGCTTGATCTTACTATGGCTTGAAGTTATGGAATGTCATTTATATTCTTTGCATTACCATAAACTTAGCCCAACGTTTCAGAAACACCTTTTAAATTTTTCTTCTGTCACAGTACCAACTTCAGATACTGGAAGCCTATTAAAGTATGTTAAGTACTCAGTTTGGTCTGAAGTCCAGGAGGAAATAGAAGTATCCAGCATCACTAAAAACAAAAATCTAGTGCTGAGACCCACCAATCTGAGTTCCCCAGATCTCATAGTCCAGCAGCTTAGCTGGATAGAGATGTGCCAGTAGCCACTCAAGGCAATAATAGACCTATTGTTGCTGCCAGCCAAATTTGACTCCTTCAACAAAGTGACCATTTGTAACAATGCTGTGAGTCCTGAGTCAAACCTGAACTAAGCCATGAGTGCTTGAGGAGCACCAGCTTGCTGCTGGGGACTGTTCTGCTGAGCAGAGAAAAAGGGATCTACTCGTGCGTCCTGTTCACCTCTCCCGGAAAAGGGAAGTCAAAAGCTACCAAATACCCATCAGCCTCTTGAATTTTCAAACCAATTACAGCCAGTATTTTGATCAGTCAGTGAGTTACATCATGACTACCGAAGCTTTAGTTATACCTTTTCCTGAATAAGTAGAAGTCTAAGGAAATGTCTTGAAGCTTAGTCGGAAAGGAAAGGAAAGGAAAGGAAAGGAAAGGAAAGGAAAGGAAAGGAAAGGAAAGGAAAGGAAAGGAAAGGAAAGGAAAGGAAAGGAAAGGAAAGGAAAGGAGTACCAAGCTGGAGAGCAGAGTTGGGCTTTTCTTTACCTGTTCCTGTCTGCTCTCCAGCATTAGCTCACCCTTTCTGAAACTAGCCTTGAGCCTTAGATCACATTCCCACTCTGATATCTAGTTAGACAGCTAATATAAAAACCTTTCACTAGTTCTAAGTTACAGCAGTACCAAAATACTGTCACATCATTCCTCCTTCCTGGCACGAGGGAGTCACTATAGCTCATCTTCTTAGCAGATTTTACTGTGTCTGAAAAGTAAACTTGCCATGAAATCACACTTGCTTCTCTGCCTAGGGGAAAATCTCTATTTTTGACAAAATTTCAGTAATATATATATTTTTTCTTACTATAAATATTGGCGTGTATGCCAATAGTAACCCTGCACAGGGAGCAAGTTCCTTTTAAGAAAGTTTTCAACAGAAGTCATTATCAACAGGCTAGTAGTCTACTGCAGCATGAGGGGTGGAACTGAGTACTGATGTCTTTTTACCTTTTAATCCAAGAGGGAAGATGAGCCAGATCTTTCTCCAGAGTAGCAGGACTAGATAGATAACTGCTTAGGCCCAAAACACTGCTGCTCATTGGTACTCAGGAGTTTGATAGCTATAGTAGTCTAAGGAGTTGTACACAATTGCCCTTGTGAGGAGAGGAGAAACCAGAGAAAGAAACTTCTATTTAACCAGAGCATTGCTAGTATTCATAACTATGATTTGTTAATTCATGTTTTCACATTTGAGAGGGCCCCTTTATGACGAGTTTACCTTGCCAGACCTTCCTCACTATGTGGGACCCTCATCAGCTTCCCTTCCCCCATTCTCACCTGGTTTAACCTCTTATTTGCTGTGGTTTCTTCAAACTCCTCTCTCGTTTTGAAGGAGATGTCTACAGTTCTGAAGATACTCTTGCTTTTGATGGTTATTAGATTCCCATAAGAGCTGATGACACAGCACTGTTTAGCCAAGCTGCCCAGCTTCCTGCTGGCCAAAGACACTCCTGCAAGTCCCATAAATCCCGGTTTGCCTAGGTTTCCAGGCTCACAGGCAGCACTGGTTTCTTCATGTCTATTTAGTACTCCAGTTCTTACTAGCAACATTATATTACTCAAGACCTGTGCCTCAAGAGCAGGTGGGGTTTATATCAGATGCTGTCAATGCCACAAGCTTATCTCTCGTCACAGGAAGTTTATCTCAAGGGAGACGAGACCATAAGTAGAATTCCTAAATATGAGCGAGTCCATGAGCTGGCTCACAGATAAGTGCTTGCTTTGAACTAAACAAGCAAGTCAGCCCAGAAGCTGGTTTTTTTCAGCTTGCAGTTTTGAGTCAGCATGTTTGCAAGTCATCTCCAAATAGTTCAGATTCACTCTAAATAGGTGTAAGTAATTGATTGCCTAGGGAGAGTAGTGAGCTTGTCTGTTCTAAATTGATTTGCATGGAGCAGGTACTTCACCTCTCTCCCAAGAAACCCTTTCCAGCAGCACAAGAGTTGCAGGCAGCTGTGTACACCAAAGGAAAACCATTTCATGCTTTCAGGCCAAGGTTTTGAATATAAAAACCTTATTTCCCCTCCAAAGAAATGAATGCTAATAGCAGTAAACGGCACCCAGTTCCCCAGAGGCAAGAGAAGTAAGTGCTGGAATTGAGCTCAGCAAGATCACATCCTTTCTATCTGAGGCACTACCGCATTCCTCACCTAATTCTTTCAAGTAGTCATTGTATTTTTCTGGATTTGAGTTTTCAAATTCCTACAGACTGCTCTGCTCACACATGGTTCAGTGTTTCTCAAGCCAATAATCCCAAGTAATAAACAAGATAATAACACAAACTTCAGGGCCCCCCCAGAGTTTTCTTTTAAAGAGGACCTCAGCATGTCTCCCTCCTCTTCTGCTCTTACCTCTGAGAAAACCGACAAAGGCATCAGGGACTCCAATAATTACAAAATTATTTTATTTCTTTTAGGATTAACTCCAAGTCAGTAGATGTATAAAAATCCAAAAAGAATGGACCAAATTTAAGATTTAGCCATTCCGGCAAAAAGTAGAATTGAAAAAGTCATTTTCCCCACAAAGAGTCTGTAAACTTAAAGGGATGAGAAGATACCTAGTCATACATATACATACATATTCAGGCCTTGTAGCCATGCAGGCTGGGAACTGACTGGATGGGGAGCTGCTCTTCAGAAAAGGCCCTGAAAGTCTTGGTGGACAGCAAGCCAAGCCCTGCCAGAGTAGGAGGCCAACAGCATCCTGGGCTGTATGATCAAGACCACAGCCAGTAGGTCAAGGGAAGTGATTACTCCTTTTGCTTGACGCTTATTTGGCCATATGTAAAATACTACATCCAGTTTGGGTCCCCAATACAGAAAGGCAGTGATAAACTGGAGCAAGTTCAGTGGAGACCACCAAGCCAGTTGGGCTAGAGCACTTGACCTGTGTGGAGAGGCTGCAGAAGCTGGGCCTGTTCACCCTGGAGAAGAGACGGCTTCAGGGTAACCCAACAGCAGCCTCCCAGTGCCTCAAGAAGTCAGATCCAGGCTCTTCGCAGCAGTGCTTGGTGGGAGGGTGAGAGACAACAGGCATAAATTGAAACAAGAGAGGTTCAGACTAGCTATAAGGATACCCTTTCCACAACAGTCAGTCAGGCAGTGGCATAGGTAGCCCCAAGAGGTTGTGCCATCTCCATCTTTGGAAGTTCTCAAGACACAACTGGACAAAGTTGTGAGCAACCTGGTCTGAGCTCAGAGCCGACCATGCTTGAGCAGGAGGTTGGACTGGAGACTTCTCAAGGTCCCTTCTCACCTGGATTATCATATGAGTCTGTATTAATAATTTCTTTAACATTGTTACTTCCAAGGTCAACAACCCCCCAGATATGTGTACCAACATGATCCACTGAGGAAATCCACTTAAAGGGGAATGCAGGGGTTGGAGTGCGTACTTATTAGCTACTTTTTGCCAGAATAGCATGTGACAGCCAGAAATAAAGTCCAAGAGACAGCTTCGCTGCTTTCTGGTACAGTTTTTGTGAACTGAGCTATGACATGTCTTAGAGGACCACTTAAAGCGGGACCCTGTTATGCTGGATTTGTCTCAAATAAATAGATTGTTGCCTGAAGAGTGCAAACGGAAAGTAAATGACATGTGCAGAGTCAACACCAGTACCTAGCTTGATGACAGAACTAGTCATAATGCTAGTTATTGGGACAAAGGTCTTCAAAAAGCGCACCAGCAAAAGGGAAAGAAATCATCTGTTTTTTGCTTTATCTAGTTTTTACAGAACCATATATCCCCTCTGCAGCACAGAAAAGCAGAATAAAACCTATTGGTCAATTGGTTCAGCTGGGGTAACACTGAAGGAGATCCCAGTCAAAGAAACCGCTTTATTCCCTTAATTCTTTCCCACTCCACAGCCTTTCTTCTGAAAACCACTTCTTCCCCTAATGTTGTCCATCTCTAGATAAAGTCTCTGACTGCAGTGGTGCAGAAAGCAATTTAAATGATTGTCATGATCCCTTCTGGTCTTACAGTCTAGGAATTTAGCTGCATTCACTTTATATAGAGAGAGGAGTGAAATGGAAAGAATGGTATGGGAGAGAACACAACCCTCTGTGGGTTGAGCTTACCTTTTTCTTCCCAAAGGAAATATGACATTAATATTTGTCTTCAATGCAGAGTGTTATTGAATGATAAAAATAATTGAATAAAAACAAGAGAGTGATCTTTGTGCTAGTAAGGGCATATGAATAATAACACTATGACCTACTGGCAAAGGAGGGGCAGAGAGAGGAAGGAAAACATTGGGCACTGGGACTCCCTCTTCATTGGTCATCCTCGAGCATCATGTGGCCAAGGTTCCTTTTTAAAGATAACCCCTGGTCTCCTGGAGCTCATACTAGTCTGCTGTCCTGTAATTCTGCCTGATCCCGTGGAAGACTGCTATCCAGCCTGACAGAATGTGTGACCAATTTGTGGGCACCTGGAAGCTCCTTTCTAGTGAAAACTTTGAGGACTATATGAAAGAGCTAGGTGAGAAATATTATTTGGAGTTATTCTGGGCCAGGGAAGGAATGCTGAATATGAACTTTACTTGCTTTTCCTAGCTATTCTTTTCACCAAGAGCTTTTTAGTTCAACTAGTTTAATTAGACAGTCTTAAACTGGAGAATTTGGCTGTTTGGACGAGTGGTGTCAAATTCCTATAACAGAAAAACCTTGATTGGGAGGAGTAGTTTCAGGTAAGCCAAGCCTATGCATGCTTACTTAGCAGTGCTATTAAGGAAGTAAAACACATCACTGCAATATTTTGTATGGATTTACTTTTATCTTTTGGAGATGCAAAGTAGTATAATGCTAAAATACAGCACACTTCACCATGTCTAAACATGTTTGTATTGCTATTGGACTAGGAGACAGACTAATTGTCTTGGCTACTATAGAGAATGAGGCATAGTTGCCTCCAGTGTATACTAACATAGGAAATTGCATGGATTCCAGAATAGATACCTGGAAAAGACTTCAGGGATAACACTTTTATCTACAGGTGTAGGCTTCTTGTTTTGAATTAAAACTGAGCCTTAAAGGGTTTCTACTTTCTTGTAGGGTAAGGGAGGTGTGGGGAAACTTGCACCAATTGGATCAATACATGCTAAAAAGTTGGCTTTTTGTTTAGAGATTAAATTCTGCTCACTGAGACTTCTCCAGCATTCAGACAGCTTTCAGTGAGACTCTTGTACTCTTAATCTTTACCCCAGATTTTAGTCAGGGCACAAGCATTGCCAGTTATTTCTTAATCATTTCTTTTTTTTCAGCCTAGCCAGAGATAAATATATCTGTAATTTAAGTGATGTTTTTGTTTGATTGGTTGGTTGGTTTTGTGGCTTAGAAGATCTCATATACTTCTGCTTATTTACTTTTAGATATCACTATAGTGAAAGATAGCTTAAAATTGATTACAGTTATTTGGAAGAAGACAATATGCAAATACCAGGCATTAAAATCTTGTCTCAAGCTTCATAATATTACTTTTGTTGTTCTGATAATGATAAAGGGGAGAATATCCTCACTTCATCCCACCTGGCTAGGTCCATAAAAGGACCAACAAATTAGATGTTTCAAAGGAACCTCTGCAACACAGATTTAATAAAAATTTAAGAAAGTAAATGGGAGTTCAGTGTTGGTCCTTTTTTTCCACAAATGAGAGAGAAAAACACTAAATAAATATAAGAATTTCATAATGCCCCGTCTTATTTACAGGTGTGGGGTTTGCCACCAGAAAAATGGCTGGTGTGGCCAAACCCAATGTAACTATCAGCATCAATGGGGATGTGATAACTCTCAAAACAGAAAGCACCTTCAAAAATACAGAGATCTCTTTCAAGTTGGGTGAAGAGTTTGATGAAACCACAGCAGATGACAGAAAAACAAAGGTGAGTCCAGAAGCGTCATTCTTTCTCTCAAAAAGGATGTGGAAGTAGGAGGAAGTAGTTGTGATTTTGACATCCGCTGTAGAAATGCTCCTTTAAAAGGTGGGAGCACCAAGAATGTTCTGTAGACTGTTTGGTCCCCTGCACTTCAGTGCTGTTTGGACATAGAAACAATCTTCTCTTTAGGCTGAATGGCCCTGACGAAATAGCCACACTTTGATTTTTTTCTTTGGCAGAACATCATAACCCTAGATAATGGCTCACTGAACCAGGTGCAGAAGTGGGATGGAAAAGAGACTATAATAAAGAGAAAAGTGGTGGATGGGAACCTCGTGGTGGTGAGTTCATTTTTGTTGTCCAGTCACTGAATCCATTATGCAGAATCCTTTTTCTGGTAAATGTATTATACCATATTCAAATGGAAAGATTGAAAGCATCTGAAAAGACTGTGCACTTATTCTGTGCACTTACTCAGCAAGAAGTCTCTCTGAACAAGTCAGGAGCAAGTATTTATACTGAAACAGTGTTAACATTTACAGGTGGAAAGGCATGAAGATGCCTGTTTTCCTTAGCACGAGATGGTTAGGAAAGAGTTGCAAGGAAAACCAATGTCATTGTGAGGGAAATTCTTACACAGCAGAATCTTAAAGTCCATCACAATATGCAGGAAACATTAACAAAGCCTATGGTAAATGTGCCCGCTCTGTGCTGATGCAAAACATTCCTTCTGTTTGTCTCTGGTAGAGACTCAGCAGCAATCTATGAGAACTGTACTATGGATCACAAATAAATGTGTCAATAATATGATATCATTGCAAAAAAAAAAAAAAAAAAGAATGCTATGTCTGAGTTGTGTTAGTTGCTATTATCTAGTCAGAAACAGAAGGCAACTAACTGTTGTGCTTGATTTAGTGCCAGCAAGGCCTAGGTACTTGTTTGGGGTTTCCCAGCACTGCTCTACAGTTTTTGGAAAAGACATGCACACTTTGAAGAATCTGGGAGGGAACTAGCAGAGTGTTCATAATGGTAACTAAGATTCCTATATGCTACAAAAGGAAAAATGTATATAGAATTCCAAAGAGCGCTACCCTAGAGAAAAAGACGTGCTCACAAATTTAATATTTAAATGTCTTTGGATAAAGTCCAGAGGAGAACAAAGAGAAATAGTTTTTAATAACAGTTAGGAAAGGCTGAAGAAAATAAGGTTTGATCTAACGGAAAAATAGAGGAGGGTAGAGCCTAACATGTAGAAGCTGATACCAACAGCTGCAGGCCTGAAAGATCTGTAGGACTCTGTGTGTGCATGCGTGTGTGCGTGCACGTGCGTGTGTGCGTGTGTGCGTGCGTGTGTGTGTGTGTGTGTGTGTGTTTTAGTGGGTGCACATGTGAAACAAGCCACAGCTACAAAAAGTAAAAGGAAGAAAAGGCAAATACCTGGCTCCAGAGTCCAATTACCCCCCACGGAAGTCCTAGAAGCCTTCTTCAGAGGCTTTTAAAAGGAGACTAGGCATTTCCTTGGGAATGGGATGACTGAAACAGTGCTTTGATGTTCTTTCAGTCTTGTGTTTCTAAGAAACATTTTTGACTTTTGTTTCTAAAGCTCTCAGACTTGAGTTTCATTGTTCTGGCAATTGGTTTTAAAGGAGGAGCAATGCAAACACTTTCCAGTACCGGTTGCCAATGGAAAAATAATTCTCTACCTTCTGACTAACAAATACTCAGGGAGAGTTAAGAGCTGGTTAAATGTACCTTTCTTCCTAGGAATGCACCATGAATAATGTTACCTGCAAAAGAGTTTATGAAAAAGCATGAAGAAGCCATCATCACACTGGACTAATGGTTAAAGCTGTAGGAAAAACATCTTAGCTGAAGGAGAAAAGCTTCATAAATACATTTTAAAGAGAACTATACTTTTTACAGCTATATCCCAGAACGATTTTATGTGGTCTAAATTGTGGCTATTCAATAAATTGTTTTGCTTTCTACCTGTGCTTGTGCTGGAATTTGTCAGAATGGGTGGGTGAAACATGGGAACCACACTGTGCAAGAAAGTTAGTATCATACCCAATAGCTATGGCTCCTCTTAACTGTAGAAAGAGGGTCAGAGCAAACCCAGTGAGCGCTTCAGACCACCAGGCCTGCAGTGAGCGCCAAACCCACGTTCCCTAACTTAGCATGACATTTGTTCTGAAATAGAGGCAGAGGCAGACCTGGATACAAAACATCATTTAGTAGCCTCTGTGTACTCCTGACTGCAAGAAATCTATGGCTGAGGAGTATGCAACACAAAATGAATAAAGGACTGCTACTTTTTTGGCTTCAGAAGATGGGAGTTATCACTGGGGCACGGAGGAGAGAGATTGTCACAGATGAGGCATGCAGCATTGGCTTCCGGCATGAGCAGAGAACTGGGCATCTCATCCGCAGCTCTCATTTGCTCGATTAGGCAAAAATGCCTAAATGTTAAACCCTCATCATGGTATCATCTGAAGTGACCTGATCTTGTCCAGTTCTACTTGAACTGAGAAGATATAGGTGATGTAGCTCTCGCTTATGATTATTTTTAATGCTCCTTTTCTTCTTGTCCTAGATTAGACTAAAAGCCTTGACTTACAAATCATAACCTAAAAAGTACTCTCAGGCCTACAAAAAAGTGTATAAAAGTTTATTAGTGTTACTACGTATCTCCTTTATGAAGGCGACACTTCCAATATGCACTAGCTCATTAGGTTATATCAGTCTGTATTCTGCATTTTACAGCTGGTAGAGAAAGCTTTTATGGAAACACCAGCCTCTCTAGCTGCAAAACCTTTTGAAGACCAGATTTTCCAGTTCTTCTTATTCTTAAACTGCCTTCTTCAACTCCCTCTAGGCGTGGCCTGCTGTTTCAAAACTTAGCTTCCATACATGCCATGATTTCTACACCTGGGAAGAGCATAAAATCTCAAATAGAGGACAAAAACTTAAGAAGTCTGGGGAAAACCTGGACAAGAAGAATCTGAAAAGATGTATGGTAGCCCCAAAATGGGGAAAGTGGTGCATCGCAAGCTTAATGATTAAGTTAACCACTTGTGAACCAAATTCCAGATATGCCTGACAGTCCTGAATTCAGCTATCAGAAGCTATGGTGCTGAGTACTTAGTGCCAGCAGCAAAGATCTCATATGCTTGAACTTTCTCCTACATGACTCAGACTGTTCCCAAGTTCCTGAGCTATTAATATAACTACAGGGAGGAAGAGAAAAAGAAAAGCTTCTACCCTCCAAATGAGCTATGGAATAATCTGAGATCAGTTCTAAAAGACTGTTATCGTGTTCTATAGAAAACATGAAAAAAGCCATGAGCTAACAGGCAACCTGTTTAAAATTCGGCTTCCTTGGTTATGAAACGTCATCAGCTTAAAGAACA